ACATGTCTATGCTAAAAAAAACCCAATATGTTCACATTAATTGATTTATGTGAAAGTTATAGTGTCTACAAATGGTGGTATATTTTTGCTGGAATTTTTATTTTTGTTTTTTTACTAGTAATAGCGGCGATCAGCGACTTATTGCGGGACTGCGGTGGGCATTCTGACATTGGGGGGAACTGACTAACTGCCACTGACATCCCCAGTGACACTAATACAGTGATCAGTGCTAATAAAAAGCACTGACTCTATACTAATGACACTGGGCAGGAAGGGGTTAACATCTGGGGTGATCAAAGGGTTAACAGTATGCTGTGTTGTGTTTTACTAAGTGTGGTATTTGTGATTTACTGGGGAAACAAGCTGCTTTGTATTGCTCTGCTGTGCAGAGCAATACAAAGCAGCCTGTAAATGCTGACAGGAGAGAGATCTGTATTGTTTACATACAGACCTCTCCCCTGTCAGCTCTGCCGATGATCACTGAGTCCCAGCGGGGCCAGGTGATTAACATGCCGAGGAGCCAATGAGCGTGCCCCCATGCACGCCCCCTATCCGGAAATACAGAATCACGTAAATATACATGATTTTGTGCATCCCTGCTGCCCTGTAGCAGTACTTCTGCTATAGGGTGGTCAGGAAGTGGTTATGTATTACTGCGATTGTTTTTATTCCCTCATTAAAGTACCTAAATACTGTATATCTCAAAAGACAGTTTGTTTATTTTTTTTTTCGGTTTTTGTCTGCTTTAGGCCAAACCACTCATTTTTAACCACCTCCTGTCCGGCCGTTGTATATAAACAGCTGGACGATGGCAGTGCAGGGTCGGGTGGCCGTTTATAAACGGCCTCCCCGCCCCCTGCTTGTGCGCGCTCCCTGGGAGTGTGCAGCACCGCGATCCGATGCCCGCTGTGGATCATGTGATCACTGACTGGCCAATCTGTGATCACATGCAGAGTAGTAAGCAAGATGTCACTTCTGACATCATTGCTTACTACGTGTGAAATCTGTGAATGATCACAGAGGTCACATGGTACAAGGCTATTCACAACAGCTTTTTACCATGTGACAAGCTGTGGCCAAACACAGCTCACACAGTAGTTCTCAATGGCTGCAATAATGCAGCCAGAGAGAAGCAGAAACGATTGCTTTTACACCCATAAAGGCTTTAAAAACAATCAGTGTAAAAAAAAAAAAAAAAAATCTTCATCACCCCCCACAAGTAGTACAGTGTCACCATGGTGACACTGTACTGCTAGGGTGACAGTATGTAAAAAAAATAAAAAAAAATAATAATAATAATAAAAAAAAGAAAATAATAAAAAAAGAAAATAAAAATGTAAAAGAAAACGTTTCAAAATTATACTTTTTGGTTAGAAACTAATTTGGGTAATTTTTTTACTAAAAAGATAATGGAATAAATTTTGGCCAAGATTTATGATGAAATATTAATATTTATTTGCAAAATTTTATATGAAAAACACTTTTTTTTTTCAAAATTTTTGGATATTTTCATTTACATAGCAATAAAAATAAATATCCCAGTGGTGAATAAATACCACCAAAATAAAGCTTTATCTGCCTAAAAAAAAAGCTAAAAAATTCATATGTGCACAGTGTTGCATGACCGCGCACTTGTCATTCAAAATGTGATAGCGCTGAAAGCTTCAAATTGGCCTGGACAGGAAGGGGGTAAAAGTGTCCGGACTTGAAGTGGTTAAATGAACAGTTTTTGTTTGTTAAATAAAATTAGCTTATCAGAATCCCTTGTTAATACATGTGATACAGACGTGTCAACCTGGGAGAACAGCTTACAGGGTGATAAACAAGTAGCACAAGCTGGGTGTCTGGATAGGTTAAGGAGAATTGCTCCTTAATGTGCACCATAAAAAGGGGTCTTAGGAAAAGCACACAATAAAGGAATGTGTGCAGTGCAAACAAGAACAGATGAAAAGAATTAAGAGAGAATGAATGAGAATACAAGAGAGGTAGAATCATGCAGATGTAATAACCTAATGAGAATTGCACCCAGCGTACAAAACAAGAGAAGTGATCCTTATGCACAGAATAAGAGCAGATACTACATAGATAAATCCAATATAAATGACAAGAAACTTGCATAGTGAAAATTACACAGTATACAAGAGCCATGAAGCAGTACTGTGCCATACAAACAAAAAAGAAAATTAGATTGATTGTGTATAACAAAAGAAGTACTATGTAATGTTCAATGTAAATGTTCTCATCCTTTTATAAACAGTAACCTACAGACTTTACCCACTAATATACCCCAGAGCAGGGGCGGACTGACAATTCATGGGGCCCCCGGGCAATAGGGGATCATGGGGCCCCTGTGTCCTTGTCCAAACTCAAAAAAGCCTATGAAAAAGGTACCAGGGGCATCTCATGTGGCCCCCTACTGACCCCGGGCCCTCGGGCAGTGCCCGAGTTTCCAAATGGTCAGTCCGCTCCTGCCCCAGAGCTTCTTTCATGCTGTGCGCTTTGCGTTCATACGGTTCATATGGCGAGGGAAGCATCCACGTATAAGTCGGGCCATACTGCTAAGACCAAAGCTTAAATGAAACTCTGGGTTGGACTAGAACAGGAGATGGCTCAGGCTTCGCTAGCGGAATTGCCTTGGGAGGGAAAGATGCACGCTGTCTACTTGGCCTCGCACCCAGTCATTGGCCCTACATTGGCAGAGATGAACAGATTATTTTGATCATCTTCCCTATCTGTCTTTCCTTCACCAATGACGCCAGTCATTGGTCACCCAGGCTTTCCCCCAGGCCTTACGGACCCAAAGTTTGTAACACAGTCCTTGGCAAGGCTATTCCATGCCTCACACTTTATTCAACTTCCTAACTGAATCCCTACTTAGACACTACTAGACAGACAAATGCCTATAGCTCTGGACCATTGGAGAGCCCTTCAGCTTTCACACTTTTTAGGCTATGCCTAAACTGGTGCTCTTCTCTTGGCAGCTTCACCCCTTTGAGGAGCTCTTCCCGCAGCAAGACCCGACTCGAAGTACCCTTTCATCCTGCTATAAAACTCTGTTAGACCTCCATGCAACTGCTGATCCCCCTTTATTAGTGAAATGGGAAAGGGATCTGAGGATGAGTTTTACAGAACCCCAGAAAGAACTCATTCACTTCTTTGCACAAAAATCTTCCCTTTGCAGCAAATATCAAGAGTCCTCTTATAAAATTATTGCCTGCTGGTATAGGACCCCTTCGGTTCTTGCCAAACTCTTTCCCAATCAATCGGATCGTTGCTGGAGATGTGAACAACACCCGGGCACTATCCTCCATATCTTCTGGGAGTGCCCTAAACTACAGTCCTTCTAGAAACCAGTGCTCCAACTCATACACAAATTCACAGACATATTTGTGCATAATGACCCAGCAGCAGTCCTCCTTAACCTCACTCCTATGTCTAATAAACGCTGTTATAAATCTCTCCTTAAACACCTTCTAAATGCGGCACAAGCATGCATCCCATGTCAATGGAAACAACAGACAGCCCCTACTGTGACTCAGTGGTTCGCCAGGGTGAACGATATTGAACAGATGGAGAATCTGACCTCTGATATACAAGACAAATCAGAGGAACACAAAACCAGGTGGTTTTATTGGGACCTCCTTCGCTTCTCAGATCAATACCTCCAATGTACCCGATGATCGCTTTTCATGCATGAACCAGGGGCCATATGGAGTGGCTGGGTGGTGCAGTTTCCTGCTTCCTGATGACCTAGTTTTCCTTTGACTCCTCCCTACCCCTACCCCTTTTTTGGTTTTTTTCCTCTTCTATTTTCTCCTTTCCTCTTTTTCTTCCCTTTTCCTTCTTTTTCTCTTCCTATTCTTTACTAGAATGCAAAATTGAAAACTCTGGTATGCTCAGTCCCTAAGAACTAGTACTGCTGTGGTCTTCCCTCTTCCCTGACCCTTTAGTTTTGACTCCGCAGACACTGTATGGGGGAGGGGGGGTTTGCAAGGTGTTTTCTTTATGTACAGATGGCTCAGTATTTACTTTTTGGAAGTTACACAGTTGTTCTGTTTATTTTATATGGTTGGTGAAGCCACTTTTTCATGTCATTTCATTGTTACTGTTGCATACTACTAAAAAAAAAAATAAAAAATAAATAAACAGTAAGCAAAACATACATTTACTGTTTTCTTGTCTATTTTCATCTATTCATTGTATTTCATTGTATGTTGTAGTTTGGCTCTTACAATGATTCTAAACACTTAAGGTTTCTTAGCTTATTGCATTATCTATTTTAAGGTAAAAAAACCTTCTTGCAACAGGATCCCCCAGCCCCCTTCCCCATAGCCCAATTTCGATCCAGGACTGTGCCTGGGAGCAGCGGTTTTCTCCACTCGCTCCCTCTTCACAGTTCAGATTGATTCCAGTGGTTGGCTTTTGCTGCAGTCAACCAAAACCTGTAAAGATGCAGCATGGAGTGGGGCTGAGCCACACTGTCTATGTCTATAGACACAGGCAGTGCGGCTCAAGATCAAGCCCACACGAGTGCCCCATAGGAAACGGCTGCCTCTGGGGACACTCGCCAAAGAGGAGGAGTCAGAAGCATCTGAAGGGAACCCCAGAATAGGAGGATTGAGGCTGCTCTATGCAAAACCATTGCACAGAACAGGCAAGTATAATATGTTCAATATTTGAAAACAAAAAATGAAAATTGAGATTTACAATCACTCTAAGCCAATATGCTTAAAATGAAACTCCAGACAAGCAGCCGACTACACAGCTGGAAAAAGTGGTAACATATAGGATTTAGCACCATTTGGTAAATGTTATCAACACAGTACACTTACTCAACACTGCATTTACTCAACATCTAATTTATAATTCATATTCAATATGTTATCTTGATGTTGGTGGAAAGATAGATCACTTTGAAAATGTATACTAATTAGAGTATTATGCTATTTCAGCTGTTAATTATTGATGGACAACACCTGAGGAGTGATCCAGCTATTGTCATGGATGATGTGCAAACATTTCTAGGAGTCTCTCCACATTATAACTACTCAGAGACTCTAACGTAAGTATATTCTCTTTTTGCTTTTACTTTCTGTTATGAGGCACCATTAAACATTGACATAAGTAGCCTCCGCATCGTTATGTATATCAAATGAGGGGTGTCGCATAATTCAGTGTTACTATATATAACTTATGGACAATGTCTTCCTTGTTCAGTCATTGAAAAATATGTTCATTGCAGTCAAAACTGTGCTTTGGGAATAATTTAAAAACTCGGATCTACTTCACTTTCAAAGCACATTGTGTAAAGTGCCCTCCAGAGGAATTAAGGAAAACATTATAATGTAAGTTCTGCAGTTATAAAATCTAAGAAAAATTAAAGCAACTGTGCTACCACATGATTAATTTGGTGAAATATGTACTTAGCTTTAGCCAGAACATGTGACATCTAGCTAGTGCTGATTGATAGGTAGACTGGGAAATTCTAAAGGTTTTACCTCTCATTCTCCACTTAATTATTTTACACAGAGACATTGTGGAATAATTATATGTCTGCAATGTTATAATTAAAATAAGGGCAACTAAAGGTTAATCATAAACATATAAACTTGCTTTCCGAATAATGAAACTATTCAATGCTCAGGGAAACATGTATTTCCTCTATAAAATGTAAGAAATCAAAAGTCCATTTTAACTGTAGTTAAAAACAGGTAACAATGTATAACTCCAGGCAAACAATTAAATGCTGTTAAATGCATATATATTAAAGTAGTTTGAAGACATACTGGGAGTTTTCTGGTGCTACATAGATGTATTTCACTACACTTTATATTTTATTTAAAAACTTCCATTTTATTGGAATAATCACATATAGTAAAAACTTTTTTAAAACAAAAAAGCTTTTCCTAAGAAGCCTTTTAATATCTTTGTTTTCCATTTCTCACAAATGATTCTGCATGCTACATCTATCAAAGCGTTACATATATCAGTTAAGTATCATCATGATCTTTTGTGTTGATTGTAGTGGTGGGGCCCAAAGTAGATTCAAAAAGGTTGATTTACTAAAGGGAAATAGAATTTTCACTTTCCAAGGAGAGTTACCCCTACAGCTTAATAAATGAGGTTAAGTTATGCTGACTTCCATAATTTACTCATGCAAAAATGCTTTTTGTTTTATTTTCCTTGCATGTTGGGTGCTTTTTACAAAGTGAAACTGTATGTCATACACTAAACTCTGAGGAAAATTCCCTTGCAGATTGTAAATAAACAAACAAATCTGGAAGTCACAAAATCCTCATCACTTCTGGTTTCTGATGTCATACAGTGGGAGGAACAACATCTGTTCCATCAGTTGGATTGGTCCCAGGCTCCCCAATGGGACAGAAGATTCCGGGAAAGACAGCGGTGGTGGCAGGAGGGGGGAGACCCCCTTTTGTCACCTGTAAAAGCGATTAAATGACTTTATAGCTGCTAGGATGTCTTTTACATAAAACAGAATTGCTGGCTGAAAAGATTGACACCAGAATCATAGTTGTAGCTTCAACCATGATCCTGGTATAACCACCTTAATGTGAGGCCATATATATTCACACGATGGTACTGAAGTGGCTAAAAGAAGCCAGCAATGCAGCTTTGTTTGCCAGCAATTTAAACTGCTCTTTCTTACTTTGTAAATGTAATTTTTGCTGTAGCATGTCCAACAGCAAGAATGAAAAAAAACCTGCATAGACTCCCCCAAAATGCAAAACAGACCCTTCGAGTCTGGTATAGATTTTAAGAGAGTACCTCAAAACAACAACAAAAAAAAAAAAAATGCATGAAGCTCTCCCTAAAAATCCATACCAGACCCTTAATCTGAGCAAGCAACCTGTCTGGCCAGAAAAGAGATAGGATGTGTACACCCCACCTCCGGACTCAAGCCACATGCCCTCAAGATAGGGGATGCTGTGCCAGGGTGGACCCCCGGCAAAGCACCTTGTCCTCATGTTGATGAGGACATGATTCCCATCTCCACAGTGGGGTGGGGGTCTTTGGGCAGGGGCTTATCAGGACCCCCTTTATTAACCCCTTCGCGCCGACATCACACAAATATGCTGTCTCACAGAACTGGGCTTTTTTCCATGAGGCCACATATTTGCTTACCTGTCTGTCTGCTGGGAGCACGCCGCACAGCAGTTGGTAGTGATGCAAAGGGTGCAAGCAGCAGCTGCTTCTCTAACAACAACTGACAGCTGGTATAGTGATGACATCATTGCCCAAATATGGATGTGTGTTGCCATATTTAGGCAATGATCTAACCCGCTCTATTCCCTGCCCATTACAGGTCTAGAGATTCCCAGCCATGTAAGTGAATGGGCTGGGTGTTGTCAATGGTTGTAAGCATGCAGCGACTGCAAGCAGTCACTGCTTTCTTAGCAACTATTGGCAGCCAGAAGCTGTCACGATCATCAGGAAATAAAGCCCTAAACCTTTGGCATTCTGATGAATATCCAAACAGTGAGTGTTCAGTGAGCTTTTTCCTAGACCCCAAGTGCCTTTTTATCTCCTGTTGTACTTTCTCCTGGGGAAATAGGGAAACTGGAGGTCCTAAGCATTTACTGACTGTTAAACCTACCTTTTTCACAGTTCCTGATGAAGCAGGTCAACTGAATCAAGAAATGATTTGAATCTATCCAACCTCCATCACTACAATCAGCAAGAAATATATCTTACTGATATATATTTACTATGTTATGCTTTTTGGGTAGGGCTGCCAGGATTAATTTATGAAAAGGTGTATTGTGAGGCTCCCTATTAATATTCTAATAAGATGAAAGATGTTTAATAAAATATATTGTGTATGTGAAAAACATCTATTTGGTGCCTGGAAAATTCAAGTATGCCTTCAAACTATTTTAATATTCAAACTATACATAGCAAGGGATGCAGTTTTCTTACCCAGTAAGCTAGCCTAAACCTCTGTTAAGTGCATATACACTATATTGCCAAAAGTATTGGGATGCCTGCCTTTACATGCACATGAACTTTAATGGCATCCCAGTCTTAGTTCGTAGGGTTTAATATTGAGTTGGCCCACCCTTTACAGCTATAACAGCTTCAACTCTTCTGGGAGGCTGTCCACCAGGTTTAGGAGTGTGTCTATGGCAATGTTTGACCATTCTTCCAGAAGCGCATTTGTGACGTCAGGCACTGATGTCGGATGAGAAGGCCTGGCTCACAGTCTCCGTTCTAATTCATCCCAAAGGTGTTCTATTGGGTTGAGGTCAGGATTCTGTGCAGGCCAGGCCACCCCAAACTTCCTCATCCATTTCTTTATGGGCCTTGCTTTGTGCACTGGTGCGCAGTCATGATGGTATAGGAAGGGGCCATCCCCAAACTGTTCCCACAAAGTTGGGAGCATGAAATTGTCCAAAATGTCTCCGTATTTAGAGTTCCCTTCACTGGAACTAGGGGACCAAACTCAAACCCTGAAAAACAACCCCACACCATAATCCCCCCTCCACCAAACTGTACACTTGGCACAATGCAGTCATGCAAGTCATGCAAGTACCGTTCTCCTGACAACCACCAAACCAAGACACATCCATTGGATTGCCAGACAGAGAAGCATTATTTGTCACTCCAGAGAACATGTATCCACTGCTCTAGAGTACAGTGGTGTCTTGCTTTACACCACTGCATCTGACGCTTTATATTGCACTTTGTGATGTAAGAGCTGCTTGGCCATGGAAACCCATTCCATGAAGCTCTGCATGCACTCTTGTTGTGCTAATCTGAAGGCCACATGAAGTTTGCAGGTCTTTAGCTATTGACTCTTCAGGCTGTTGGCGACTTCTGCGCACTGTGCAATTCAGCATGCGTTGACCCCACTCTGTCATTTTACATGGCCCACAACGTCGTGGCTGAGTTGCTGTTGTTCCCAGTTGCTTCCACTTTGTTATAATATCACTAACAGTTGACCGTGGAATATTTAGTTGCAAGGAAATTTCACGGATGGACTTATTGCACAGGTGGCAACCTATCACGGTACCACGCTTGCATTCACTGAGCTCCTGAGAGCGTCCTATTCTTTCACAAATGTTTGTAGAAGCAGTCTGCATGCCTAAGTGCTTGATTTTATACACCTGTAGCCATGGAGGTTATTGGAACACCTGAATCCAATGATTTGGAGGGGTGTCCCAATACTTTTGGCAATATAGTATATGTTAAAGTAAATCTGACCTATTTTAGAACTGTTCTAAACACTGGCAACTGTTTAGCACTTCTTTCAAATACTAGAACTTCTGTTGGCAGTAAAAGGTCTGGCACTTGGCAGTAAATTGGTCAATTTGGTACCAGAAAAGTGAAAGACATAATCCAGACTTTGGAGATCAGATGAAAAGCCTAACACAAGTACTTGTGGTATCAGGACTGTCATTAAAAATTGAAAACACCTATTTTAAGATAAGCTTTATACTAAGTGCTTACTTACCAAAGAACTTTGTAATTCTATCAAGCCAGTCATCCAGCCACCTCTGCCAGACCATATAGCTAGGCTGGGAACCTCACGCATGTCCATTGCACTATTTTACCTGGACAGTCAAGGAGAATCTCTATACTGATGGAGTCATCACATTGAACTTTCTTCCTAGATGATAAACTGACAGCACTGTGCAGATCAGTAGAGCCTGGTTGGCTGGCGGTGCTGTCCCTCCTTATTGCTGTTTGTGCCCTGCTACACAAGAGATTACTAAAAGCTATTATAAAGACAAATTCGATCAGTTTTAAACAGGTACAGTTACATTTAAAGTGATCCTTTCAGTAAAAAACAGTTCTGGAAAAAAGAATACCTTCAAAAGATAACAGTAAATATTCACCTTTCCCCTTGGCCGTGTTGCCAAATTCTGCTCTGTTCAAGAGGAATATTATGCAGAAGCCTGTGGAGAGACCAATGATAACAAGAGTAGCAATCTCCTATGTCTCCCACTGCTAAGCGGTTTGTCCATTTGCATTCCATGTCACAAGACTGTGTTTGTGCTGACAAGGTCACTTTAATAATTTATTTCACATGAATGCATAATTGTTTATGTTCTTTTTAATGAATATATAACTGTCTGTCAGATGTAATAACAAGTTATTCACCAAAAGCAAATATATTTTAAATAATATAACATCACAAATGTACCTGTACATGGCAGTATTTTGTGCAATTGTATTTATTGTAATTTGACCACCTTAGCTATGCTACAGATTAAGTCAGTGCTGATAATTATTGTTTATTATTGTGTTACGTAACTCTTCACCACAAGAGAACATCACATACCTGGCACACCAAGTGCACAGGCCAGTATCCTAATGACCCAAGAATGCATGAACTTCACAAATATTTATTATGTAAAAATAAAGCAAGACATCCTAGATGATGTCGGTGCTCCACTTCTCATGGTTTAATTTTTTTTAATATTTTCATTAATCAATTCAAGCACATTGCAATTGGCTTGTTTCTAACAAACACATAAATTGTTTTATATACCGTAAAAGAAAACCATTTTTGGACACCCCTCTCATGTACTAGGCTGTGAACCCACACTTTTTTCATATGCCTGGTGGGCTGGACTAGTACCATTTAAGGAGAGAGCAACGCTGTCTTGCATTTATGATTTAAAAACAGTGATATGAAAATGAAGAAAAAATAACAAAGCAAGTTCAGCAGATCAGTCTCAATAGGTCAGGTATGAACACATCAGCTTGGTTCGCTTGTTTTCAGGCAACGACTGTAGACCCAGAACCTCTGCAGCTTTAAGCCCCTATAACTGATGCTAAGGCAGTTAATCCAACTTTCTGAAATACTGTAATGAAACATGGAGGGACAGAATGCTCAGGCAGTAATCCAACTTTCTGAAATACTGTAATGAACATGGAGGGACAGCATCAAATAAAGACATGCTAACACAATTGGGGTCACCTTACCAGAAATGTTGCCATGGGGCCAATGTTATTAGGATGAACACCTTATAAGATATACCATGTTACCAAAGTGATATTACCCAAGACAGAAAGTTGCTGATGTGGTTAGTTAGGTACTCATTAGAACTGAAGAAGCTGCTTGCAAAAGCTGCAAAACATCTTCAAAATTACAAAACAAGTCTAGATGAATATGTCTACTGCTAGATGAATATGTTACTACCATGCTAGATGTAGTCAAAGCAGATAGGGTTTCATTAGCATACCAACAGAAAGTTGAGAACCACAAAATATCAACAATCTCAAGGTTACAAATCTCCAGGACATAAGTTACAACCATGGCACTGTAAAATTCCCTGGTCCCTTGACGCAAGGAAAATTGATGCTTGCACCAGAATAGTCCGGCAGCCCCAAACATGTTTTGCCCATTCAAGCTGTTTAGGCTCAGGGAGCATCAGTGTCAGCGCGAACTATCCGTCGACATTTAAATGAAATGAAACGCTATGGCAGGAAAGACCCAGGAGGACCATACTGCTGACACAAGACATGCGCCAAAATGTTACTTGGCCCGAGATGGACAATGAGCATCAAGATAAAAGCACATCATTCTACTGTTTACCGAAAACGGAATGAGGCCTACAAAGAACAAAACTACCTACGGTAAAATATGGTGGAGGTTCAATGATGTTTTGGGGTTGTTTTTTTGCTGCCTCTGGCACTGGGTGCCTTGACTACATGTGTCGCACAATGTGTCAGAAAGCTTGACCCCAAACATACGTCAAAAAGCAGTAATGTCTGTTGGGAAAAGGTAACCTGGAGCTTTTGCAAAGGAAGAGTAGGGTGAGAGGTGTCAGAAGCTTATTTTATAGGAAGCGACTGATTTCAGTTATGTTTTCCAAAGGGTGTGCAACCAAATATTAAGTTAAGGGTGCCAATACTTTTGTCCAGTTACCAGAGGGCTCATACATGCTTCCATAGTCCCATGTTACCAAGAAGCCCATTATACTGTTAGAATATGCTCAGTTCCATTGATGGTACTAAGGGTAGCATGCTACCAAAGTTGCATGCTTCAAAAAAGATCAAGCTGTCCTGCAGGCTCTAACACAGGGAATTGTTCTAGTTTAAGATAGAGTAGACAATGATAAGAAAACGGAATGAGGCTTCTGTCCTTGTTCAATCCAATATTAGGTTTTTATTGCTGTTGATGCCCCCACTGGGGAGATGCAATACCTTTCTTCGGCCTGGTGATCAATGTTGTTGAAATGGAAAAGGATGTGAAATTCTAAAATATATAGTTCTCAGCAGACTAGGAAGTGGTGGGCAACTTTTCTAATGGGCCCACTTGTTCCATTGACAGCTGACTTAGAGAATAATTCCTCTCGCTTGGTGAGATTTTCTGTCCTTCCCTGGTGTGTCTCCAGGGCAGGAAGTGAAGGGAAATTTCCCAAGAGGACACAGCCAACAAACCTAAATCAGCAATTGTTTTAACCATTCCCCACTCCATTCAACACATTAAAAAAAGGTTTGGATATACAGTATATACATACTTTAAAAGGGAATGTTTAGTCTTTTCTACTATTTTATACATGTTAAATGATCACCTTTGTGTAAATAGACTTGTTAGTGTGTGTTAAAGATTTTAAATCCAGTTATTGCAAAGTTTCTAAAGCTGTTGATTCAACAATGCTTGGTGGAATATTTCTAAAAAAAATGTGTGTCAGTATTTTCCATCTATTGTTCGATTTGTTTTAATTATCTAAATAGATCTTTTACAATAAAACTGCACGCATATTCTTGACAGATCCTTAATGAGAATTGCTTAGGGTAAGAATATTACAAAACAGACAATTGTATTTTTATGAGTATTTTAAATAATGAAATACAGATTTCTGTTTTTGTTTGTATGCAAGGTTTAAAAATCTAACATCAGACTGCAAATTTTCTTTTTTTTTTAGAAAAAAAACATGAAATAGCTCGCTGTCTTTCAATTTTTTTTTTGTTAGTTTACTGAAATACCAAGTTTCAAATCACATTAATGCATAACTTCTACATACTGTATAGTGAATTAGGAATATAAAATGAACACTATTATTTTAATCAAAAATATAAAATCAAATTATATTCTTTTTTTTTTTCATTATTCACTCATCTAGAGATAATCAAGTAATGGTGAATATGCTCTGCTATTGATTCAGCATTGCTTGATCCCCTAGCTGGGCAATGATTTAATTTGCCCTTTGTAATACTCAACTGGTAATATATGGTCCAAAAAACATTTACTAGTTAACTGAGAACAGAATGCACAGTGGATCTTTTAGACTGCGTATTTCCAGCTTTGGAGGGTGATCCTGTGCACTTACAATGGGTTTTAATCAAACCTATTATTGATCATTTAAATAAATTAAAATAGTGAACTGAGGTTTGTGAAATATAAAAAGTCATTTTTCAGTGCATTAATATTGTCTGTTTCAGGGCTGGCATTACGTTACTTAGCATACTATGAAAATTATTGTAAAACACCTCTATCATCTTGATTAATTATTGAGCACTAAGATGGGTAGATGCGGATAACAACAGTTACCTTAATTTAAACAGACCATACATTAAACAAAGTCTAGTGCATGCTGACAACAAATTATTTGCATGCCTGGTTTCAGTCATAAGCCAGCAATTTGTAGCATATATTGTTTCACTCTGAAGGAGGATGTACCAGTGTTAGGAAAGGACTCACCGCTGGTGGTTTTGGGGCTAACCTATTCTATGGGCTGCAGTACCAGTTCTTACCAGTGAGTGTGTCAGGAAAGGACTCACCGCTGGTGGTGCTGGGGCTCACTTGCTCTATGGGCTGCAGTACCAGTTCTTACCTGAGGCTGATTGCAGGAGGTGTATTTAAGCAGTAACCAGGCCTGCAATCAGTGCCTTGGTGTTTGTTTCCCATGAGCCCTTGTTGTCCTGTACTGTACCTGTATCCTGTCATCTACCTGCTTGATTCTCCTGCTCGATTCTGACCACGATTGAACTCTGCCTGCACCGACCCAGCTCTCCTTTTTGACTATCCGTTTGCCTACCCCTCTGTACCAGATCCGCCCGATTGTTCCTGACCCGGCCTGTCTGACCACTCTACCTCTCCAGCCCTGACTACGCCTGTGTTTCTGAACATATAGATATTAGTTGAAGGTTTGGTTTTTGTTTGCACTGTGCATTTTTGTATACTTGTTTAGCTCTTAATAAATTATATTATTACATCACTCCTGAAGCCTGCTATTCCCTGTGTCAGTCCACACATCTCTGGTCATATCCGGGCTACTGACAACCAGTGTAACAAGCTTCCAGTGAGGTGCAGTGCCTTTAAAAAAGTAGAGTATGGTTAACTATACCTACTGGAACGAGAAGAGATTTGGAGACACGGAAAGCCTTTAAAGCTTTCACCTCAGGAATAGCTCCATAAATGGAGTCTAACCGAACTGTATCCTTAATTAAAGATAGAATCTGTGTCAGTTTGGCCGTTGCTTATTGATGTGACTGGTTTGGTTGCACTTATTTAATTATAAACCCCATCCTCCCCCCCCCCTTTTTTTTTTTTTCTCTCTCTTTTCCCTCTTCCCTATATATTTGTCTTTTTTGCTCCCCCCCACCCCATTATGATATTACTTTTCATATTCCTCTTCCATTCACACGCTCTTCTCTTTTCTTTTCTTTTCTTTCTCTCTTTCACACCTTTTTCATACTCTAATTAATCATATTTTTCATAAGGTACAGAGTATCCATACATGTACAGGTGTGACGGTTATCTACAAAACTAACCTACACTTTTCGAATACGGAAACATAGGACATATATGCCTTGAGATGACACTTTTGTCTTACACTTCACAGTCCTGTTATCTGAGATCTCCCTACACAATGGACTAGTGTTCATCATACTTCTCTAAATTACATATTGTTAGCATTATTTTTTATTGTTATATATTATGCATCAGCCTTATTGTAGGACTTTGTTTCAGGATGATCTACAATTTAATTAAATGTCTTGGTCCTGTCTGCGTTACGGGAGAACATGTAAGAGGACATGCGCGGACTGCGATCCGTATCTGTATATGACTTGTTATGCCTTTCGTATTTCAATAAAACCTTTATTTGGAAAAAAAAAAAAAAAAACTATACCTACTGATAGGGGTGTTTGAGCCCACAGTGAAATTCGGTTCAGTTCCCACATGTGCCAGTTTTTTTTTTCAGTAACCAAACATTTTGCAACCCTATTAATAGGCCTCTTTTCACTGGTGTTTGCCAACCCATACTGCACCTCTTATTTGGGTTTAGCTTTTATAAAGACAATCACTGGAAATGCTCTCTTTATAACAGTATTCTTTCTGGTCTGTGGAAAGGCTTTATTTATGTACTGTTGGTGAATAGAAATGCTTAATTTTCACTGATGATAAATGATAAAGCTATCTTTATATTGTTGGTCAGGGGATAGGTCCCATTTCTATCGGTGGTCAGTGAACAGGCAGTTACTCATTTGATAATGAAAGTCATGAAAATAGTAAAAAATACTTTCCCCTGATCTATGAAAGCATCATTTTAAGTATCTGCAGGCAATTCAAATTGATGGATCTGTTTTAAACTGTATTTATTCATTTAACTAGCTGTGTCTTCTATTCAATTCTATTGGCTATGACTATATAAATACATTATTTTCATGTCTCAGACCCCTGTCCCAAATTATTAGTGTAATGCATTTTGATTTCTTATGCCATATCTAACGATAACTTGAATGGTCAAACTATTAGTAACCTGAAATGGCTTTATAGAGCTTTGCAATTTGTTATTTATAATATTATTCTCTCCTAGGTTTAGTCCAGAAAAAGGCTTCTGGTGCCAATTATTGGAAGGTGGTAAAACAAAATGTCTTGGAAAAAACAAGGGTCGTAAATATCCAACAATGCATATAGAGGTACCAATTTTGTCAATGTATTCATTTTATTTATGCATTTTTATAAATTATATGTATTTTATATAAATCATCCGCTTTTAATAGTTTTTATAATGTGCCAAAGTTTTCTGATTTCAAGGATATCATCATTTGCTTGTATTTAATTTTATTTTGTTTTTATTTTAAATGATATCCAAAGCTAAAACATTTGTCTCATTTTAGATAGATTAGGGAATGGTTAAAATCTCTGTCAGGTTTATTATTTTTTTTTTTTAACTATGTCTCATTGGAGGAATATTCCCTTCACTATATGCCCTGTAGATAGTTAAAAGTAATATTTCCAGAGTGAGGGAAATCCAAGACATCTTAAACAGTTGGTATCACAGCAAGTGTGCGTCAGGGTAAATCTCTCCCTTTTTTGGGTGTCTTTTCACTTTGTGAGGAAAGCTCTTTTGCAATATTTGTCAGAGTGAATGCTATTTTTAACAGAAAATTATGTATCTCTTATGAGCATGTCTATGTAATAAAGTTGATATTTTTTTCAAAAACAGTTTTCTTGGGTGTATACGTGTAAAGTCCCTGTTTGCTGCAATAAAGTCCCATGGGATTTTTTTCTTCTATCTTTCTAAGCAAGTGTGCCAATTGGAATATTTCTCTATTCTGGTTCCAGTGACAGTTCAAAATTTTGTTTTTTCCTTCACTTCCTTTGCCAGTGACAGTGACCACTAGGATAGACATACAGAGTAAATATCCCCAGCAGGGACACAGCAGGTTGTCCAAAACTAAAAACATAATTTTGGCATTATTATGTAGTTGAGAATTACTTTTAATATTTGTTCTTTAGATCACCTGTTTTATTAGTTATGGTCACCAAAATTCTCATCATGCAGAGAAAGATATACTGTACGATGGATTAACACTCCCATCAGTACAGCTGCACCATGATGTAATGTGTTGTCATTCTTTCACAACTGGATGTAAAGTATGGTTTGTCCCTAACAAAATCATATTGTTTTGAAATGACCAATAATTTGTCTCGAGTCTTTATGTATCAAGCATAGTAGATATGGTACTATTTTCCTGGTTACTCAAATTCAATTCTTTATTGCAGTTAACAGTTGTCCAGCTATGTTAAACCTGGCCAAAGGACTTGACATGACTTGATTCATTACATGGAGATCAGTTATACAGATTAAAGCTATACAGTATGCACTAACATCTTTAGCGATTCATTCAATATATAGTGCAATAAAGCATAAATAAATCTTCAGGCAAAATTATCAACAAATTATAATAAACTCTGAGAATATGTGCTACACTGTATAGACATTTCTCATTTCACAAGGATCAGGTAGCTCCAGGCTGTCTACTGTTCTCTTCAGTAGAGATTACAAATAATCTAAAACCCACATCACAGTCTGAAATGTTCCAGTGATCCTGTTTCTCAAGAAGTTCAGCAAGCTTTATATTGATACCAGCCATTATAACCGCCAGAAATTAGATGGTGTTTAAAGATGAAGTGGGCTAAAACTAGCATGGTCCTGATCTCAATAAAGTGTACTACATTTTCTTTTCTTCAGTGCAAGTTCTATCTGATACCTGCTAAACAGAAATGGAGGTAACATCTCAAAAAAGGGCATATATAGCAACAAAGGGCATATATAGCAACAAAAACTCTGTCCTTCTGCTATTAGTGTTTTCTTAGGCTAGTCTCATTGCCGGCTATTATTATTAAGCAATTTTTTCCCCTGGGGCAGCATTTGTTCAGGAAATTAATGTTTTCCCAATTATCCTTAGCTCTTACAGTGGACATGTCTGTATTGATTTTCAGTTTGCTAACTCTGCTGCCATGACACAAATGTTAGTGCATAATGTTTAGATATTTTATGAATGATGGGGTACCAGATATTATTCCATTACATTGTATGTCCAACCAATTAGTTTTAAATAGAATGGCAAAGAGTAATATCCCTGTCTTATTTTATTGCTATCTGGGGCTCCATTACAACGATTTACCCACACTTCCTGGCAATATTTTACCAGATGGGAAATGAAAGAAACTTTTCAACAGCAACAGAGATATAAATGTTTTTATTTTCTTTAGTAGAAAATGAGAGGGCTAGACTTCCTGTGTGGTGAGACTGTCAGCAGCAGAGGAAGTATGGTTAAATCCCTCTATACGGACCCTGGAGAGCAATAAAAACCCAAAAGGAGTTCTAATCCTTCACCACTAATAAAAAACAAAATAAAAAAGTTTTTGTCTTAAGGTTGTTCTTGATAGCAGTCACTATTTTATACTCAAATCTTCAGTTGCCTGAGCAGCTTTCTAATGAATAATGCATTTTTCAATAATTCCAGCAGGAGTTCTAATCCTTCAGCACTCTATCCAAAACTAAAAATATAAACCTAAAAAAAAAGTTTTTGTCTTAATGCTGTCCTTGATAACACTCACTATTTTGTACTCAAATCTTCATTTGCCTGAGCAGCTTTCTAATGAATAATGCATTTTTCAACAACTCTGTAATTATAAAAAATGAATTACTGTAAGAATTACTGTAAAAAAAAACCTGTATTGACAATAAGTTGTTACAACCACCAACTTTTTTTTTTTTTTTTTCAGTCAAGATTTTTTCTCTCAAGCTATTACCGGGACCACAACATCGAATTGTCCAAACTTCTACATAGACTGGGACTACCATTACCATCCTGGCTGAGACAGGAGCTCCAGAAAGTGAGATAGCATTGAAGACATCGACTAATGCACAATTTCTGCCTTGTGGTTTCTCCGCTAAGAAAAAAAAAAATAGAAACAATTCTCTTCCCTCACACTTACAAATATTAGTCACAGTTCCCAGAACGATTCACAAAACCCAAGAACACTTATTTATGCACAGGGTGCCACTTATGAGCACTATTACTGTCAGATCAATCTCAGTACCTGAGCTGAGATTTGCTATAATTGAAGGTAATATCCTACATTTAACATTGGACTCGCACTGCACCCATTTCCTTTGATAAAAAGAGACTTCCAGTAACTGTTTTATGATTGGAATCCTTCATTTAATACAACATGCACTACTGTCTGAGAGAACCAAAGCAGAAGTAGATGCAGTGGATTTGAAGGTTAGTTTTACAATGAGATTGAATAAATTAGTATACATCTTCATAAGAAAATACCATTTTTTGAACGCTTTATCATTCATGCAGTACTTTAAGGTTTATTTCAACCATTTACAATGCCTGCCAGATTATGTTTCCTCACCAATCACATTCTTGATATTGTGATTTTGCTATACACATTTATAATGGTTTTGCAAAAGCAATAGGGTTCACTATGTGTAGCACCTCCGGCTGTGATGTTCAAAAGAATTTAGTTCAATAATAGCTTCCTGCAGCTCTTAGAAGTGCTGTATAAATCATGTATTTTTTTCCTTTTTGGTCAATGATGATTTTTTTTTTTTCCCATAGTACACATCTAGTGCCTAAAAGTCTATTTGATTGTATTTTTTGACTGAAAATCTGACTGCAGTCTTTGCCATAATGTCACCAGAGCTTTATAGTAATCCTTGAAAGGTCATCACTGTACAAAAGCTTTCAGTTCAATTATACTTACTGAGTCACAATGGCTAAACGTTAAGAACCCAATTATCAGTTTTTACTTCCAAAGTCTTTAGTGCTGAGCTGACTAATGCACAGGAATTTGAGCAGTTCTATAATTCTTTTGAATGTAGTTTTGCAGTATTCCAAAGATATAAACTGATTGTAAAATTTGAGTTAAATGAAATAATACAAATATTATTTATTCATTTGTGCATTGACACTAATGAGTATAAGCAAAAATTACGTAACATTGTTTTTTTTTTTTTTTTTTTTTCCTTATACTGTTAGGACTTAATATTCCACCATATTTATGTAGGTCATGTATTTGTAGACTATATACTATAAAAATGTAAAGCATAAGAATGCAGTCCTCTAACAAGTATAATAATACCACTTGTCTCTACTATGGGTTTGTATTTGATCAGCCAAAAGTGGATTTATGATTATGACATTTTTACCTATTCTGAATACTTTTTTTAAATGACAATCTAGCAGTTAGTCCTCTACAGACAACCAATAAATGGTGCAATCAATAAATGGTGCTATAAATATAACAGGCAAATGATTTGTATGTAAGAAAGAAAATACAATGGACTAGAGACTCTGACGCTGTCTTTAGCTATTATTCTGATTGTTTGGGGAACTCATTAGCTTATTGAGCTAAGCAAGATCTCAACAGATCCCAGCAGGCATTTCAAAATACAGCATTTACACTATGGTTTTACAAACCGATTTGCTTTTTTTTTTTCTTGTGATTTGGAGGTCTTCTTTAACTGCCTAACTATATATTAGTTTTTAATCCAACTAAATTCTTTTGACTATCAAGTACCACTTGTAGGGAAACTGCCACAGATGGGATGCAGGGTTCCTCAGACCCATTAGGTTCACATAAAGCTGCTGTGTTTTGCACAGGGTCTATAAACCTACTTCTATGTTTGTAAAGACTTTTTTTTTGAACAGGAGTCAAATAAACTTTGTGCCCATGTATAAGCATAAGAAGAAGCTCCATATGAAAAGCAAGGACACTATTGCAAATGATATCAACAAACAACTGTGATTAGTTCTGACACAGTAAAGCTAGAGCCCTGACTACCGATAGTAGTTTCCTGCTTTTTCCTGCTACTTACATGGCCATTGAGATTTTATTTGGTGCTCATTGGCTTTTTCACACTTTTTTGCATATACCTATTTGGTTTTGAGAATAACATAACAGACTAAATTCACACCGCAGTAGCAATTAAGACATGTTAAATCCATCAATGCTTATATAATGCTGCATAGAATGACTTATGGAATAAAATTGCTTGAGGCCCTATTAGCATGTCTTAAGTTCCACTACAGGGCCAGCAAGTACTTCCTTTTTTGGCTATATGTTGTATTTCTCCTGCAGTAAAAAATACAAAAGAAAAGATTTTCCATCATGGCCTACATAATTCTCTGAGCAAATGGCTAGAATGGTAAAGGTCTGAGACTTAAGGTCACTATTTTCTTTTTAAAACTGGAAAGTGTCAATGGACAAAGGATTTTGAAAGTTGCCACATGAGAGCTCATATAATATAAATGTGCCCTATCCTTTGAATTATGTTTTGTGAAACCCATTACTTCCATCCGAATCTTTGTATAATACAAAGGAAAAGCCACACACAAATGATCTCTTCACAGGCAAAACTTTACTCAGCCAACAAGCTTCACCATGTGATCCTGTCCCCAGGACCACCCTCTAAAATTATTCACTTACTGATCTGATGGGTTGATAGCAGAACTTCTTTGATCAAGCCCATCAGGTGAAACATGTTAGAGGGGTGGTCCTTGGGGCAGAACCATGTGCTGAACCTTATCAGCTGATTAAAATTTTGCCAGATGTGAAGACATCATTAGTGTGTGGGCTTTTGTTTGGATTATATTTGAGCTTTGCTTGAAGGAATGATGGACTCCAAGCCAGCACCTGGTTCCAGCATATCAATGGAGTGTTTGGAAGATTGGAGCAATGCAATATAAAAGGGCAGCACTATTCTGTCATTGTCAGCATTTATTATTTGTATTGCAATTTTAAATGTAATCAGTCACACAAATTTTAGGAATCAGACAGAAGCAGACATTTCTTGATTCATGAAGTGCAAATTAGTTCTACGTTTTCTCACATTTTCCATAAGTGATGTTACTATCCTGAGATTGTTTTGTGGCCTTGGAGCCAGAAATGGCCACTTGAACATAATATTTCTAAAGCAAGTATTTCCATTAATAAGACTCACTTTGAAGAAAAAAATAAAACTATATAGCAAATCATAACAAAGTTATTGCTACAGGAATATTTTACTGTACATAATTAGGGATTTTCTCCCCGCATGGGAGAAGATTCCATGTTTCAAGGGCTTCCTAGCTCAGTGGAGGGGAGATGCTGTCCTGCTGCATCTTCACTCAGAAGAAAGTAGGTTGATAAGTCATTTCAGGGGCCTCCTTTGGCAGTTTGCTTATAGCAGTATAGAGTGAATAATGGGGTCTGCTGTGGCAAAAAAAAAGATAATGCTTTATGGACAGTAGAAATGGTTCAAAGTTTTAAAGTAGAAGTTTAGATTATCCAATACCTAACTTTTTAAATGCCACCTTCCCATTGCCTTGGGAAAGAGTGTATATAGAAATTGTGCTACCCTAGGCAACACAAAAAAAATCTGTTGCCCAGGCTTTGAATCAGCCTGGTTGTTGGGACAGAGGAGACCAAGCTTTGAGGTCACATGACTGCATAGAAGATCATGAAAAAGGTATTTATAATTTACACCTAAATGTATACAAGGCAATGATAAAGCAGCATTTAAAAGGTAGGGTATTAGACTAAATGTCTACTTTAAGTTTGATCAGATAACAAATTAATTTTGTAGTTCTGATTATACAGTATATTTTTCCACTAAAAAATGTTTTACATAGTGTACTTAGTGGCGACTACGCCTATGTAAGGGACCCAAGATTTTGTTACTAATAATGCTGATGTTGGAATCTCTGAAGGATAAGTAATGGTAGGTTGTGTGATGGATAGGTTTTAGCCAAATTATCACCTAGCTATAAAGCTGGACGCTATTGTGCTTCATGATGACCTATCTTCCTCAAGTTTAGGATACAATATTGGCTGTTTTATGCCTTAAAACCTTTTGTATATAAGGGCTGTTGTATATACGTCTGTTTCTTAATGTATTTGATATAAGATGCATTAAACAAGTATTGGTTTTTCCCTTCTTTTTGTCTAAGTTGTTTCTCTTGTTCTTTTCAGTGTATAAATTTAATCCAGACCTCAACATGTGGGCTACGCTAAATAAAAAAAGAAACTGAAGATCTCCAGCCGTTTGCTGAATAAAGTCTTCTTGAGAACCATTTATATAATATAAAAGAAGGATGGAAAATGTGTAAATTTTTTCACTTATTGAGAAATATTTATTTTTTATTGCAATTGTAATTAATGTGTATTTACTATATATAAACAAAATGAATTGCAAAAAAACCCTAAAAATTCTTTTTATTTATGCTTTTTATTAAAACTGGTATGTCATATATTCTCCAATAAAAGTTTATGTTGATATTATAGCCTCAAAATATACACTTTTTTAAAATAAAAGTAATTGTAGTTTAGATGGCTCAGTGCAAAACCACCTAGTGTAAGTATCTAAATCAGTCCTGTTATGAAACTCCCATATGACACTACCTAAGCTGGGACCAAGAGAACTAGCATTTAAACCAATCATGTGCTAGAGAACACATCAAGACTTCTTGATCAAGATGGAAGTCAGCAATCTGACTAGTAGGGGTGCATGGATTACTAGACTGGCCAAACAGAGTAATACGTTCTTTGGAAAGTCAAACAGTTCCCACACAGTATTTTCAAAAGTGTATATATACTTTTTTTTTATGTAAAGTGTAGATGTGCTCTGTAATGTATAGTATGCATAAGTGTGGATTCACATATGGGAGCTTCTCCGTTTAGCTGATTGACAAAGTAGCTGTTCAGCGTTTCAGGTTAGGTTTACATCAGGATCAGGTCATGTTTACATCAGGATCAGGTCAGGATTTTATCCTGTTCACAACTCAAAGACATGTGCGATTCAGAGGAGTTCCCATAGAAGTCAATGAGCTTGAATTCATACCTGAGCAGGACCGCACTGCTTAGAAAGCTGACAGGACTCATTTTCAATTCACAATAAATGTAAACTCTGATGCAATGTTCTTTCACATGCCATGCAAATTGAATGCGGTTCAGAATGCATCCAATTCGCAGCTCTAACACTTCATGCTTGGGTTGGGTGACCAATTTTTGAAATGTGGGATTTGATTATATACTTCACCAGGTGTTTGTGTTTTACAAATAATTAGGTAGTGAAACAATTCCTATTGATTGGTTAATAGAACCAGCAGTTGGAGGAAGTGCACTTCTCTTTTTCTTTTACACAACCTAAGCGTAAAATGCACACATGTATCCTCCTTTTTAACAAACTCCCTTTTCAGCACACACTTTCTCCTCCTTAGAAATCTTAGAAATGTCATGTTATTGCTATGCAGGTGCTCCTGTTTAGCCATGGGGAACACAACCCAGGGCAATGCAGGGACCTCTGCATAGGTGTAAAGTGTGGGCACTGCTGACCTGACTCCTGAGGTAGAACCCTGGGCAAATTTTGCTCATTCCCTGCTTTGGTGTTAAATGCCTTCCCACTGCACTGCTGGGGCACCACTAAGTCACTGAGACAAAGATACCAGTAGTCCTGCAGCAAAAAATCTTAAATATATATTAGCCCAGAATGTAGTTCTGGTCTGACTCTTATCTTGTTATCTCATAAAAGTCTGCCTCGTAATTGAGGTTAGCCAATCTGGTATATTTACAGGGCTCGTTATGTGACATCCTAGTAAACACCACAGCTAAAATAATAGATTGTAGAAGGCTTCCCTGAAGTATAGCTCAATGGCTATCCGTGGTAAATTTTTGCTTTATGAGAAGAAGAAAGGATGATGGAGAGAACGATGAGAAGAAGGAGAAGGAAAGGATGAGAAGAAGGAGAATATGAGAAGATGGAGAGATGGGAGAAGGATGGAGAAGAAGGAGAAGGATGAGAAGAAGGAGAAGGATGATGAAGAAAGGAGATGGATGAGAAGAAGGTGAAGGATGAGAAGAAGGATGAGAATGAAGGTGAATGTGATGAGAAGAAGGAGAAGGATGAGAAGAAGAAATGAAGGATGAGAAGAAGGAGAATGTATGAGAAGAAGGAGAAGGATGAGAAGAAGGAGAAGGATGAGGAGAAGGATGAGAAGAAGGAGAAGGATAATGCTGTCTGGCAAAATTTATCAAAGTATTAAACACATGCCTTGCAAGTTTAGATATAGCCCCTCATTTACATGAAGGCATTCAAATGTACTTCTGATATCTGTAGGCTCTTCATTACTCCAGGTGTTTGTATTTTGCACCTCTAGTCAAAAGAAAAGTATGTACAGAATCAACTTGGGGTGGGAGGGAAGGTAAGCAGAAGAAATGCTTCCTCTTGCCTGCAACAGATGCATTACTTTATATTTTCAAGATGCTCCTCTTAGGCGTAAAAATGGCTACGTGAGTTAAGCTCAAGGACTTTTTTTTTGATGATGAACGCTACAAAAAAAAATTATATACTATATATATATATATATATATAATTATTCATTAAATAGGTGTCCAGCAGACAGTTGATTATAAAATGGTGTTACTTAACAAAGAAAACCCCTTCCCATTTCATGTTGTCGGCAATGGCACCACATGGAGGAAAAATGTCACAAAGCCCGAGAAAGAGAAAATAATTCCTTTACACAGGAAAAGTGAAGGCTACAAGAAGATCAGCAAAGCTTTACTTATAAGTCAGAATACTGTAGCAAAAGTGATACAAAAATGTAACAAAGTTGGAACTGCAACCATCTCACAGAGACATCCAGGTGGTCCATGGAAGTGAACACCTCGACTGGAGCATCTTCTGATGAGAAAGTTTGCAGAAAATTGCCATGCAAGTTCACTGCAGCTAGCCAAAGAAGTAGAATGCCAAACTGGGGTGATTGTTTCCTGTGACACAATACGGCTTACACTGCAGAGGAATGACATGGGTGTTGTCCACAAAGGAAGCCTCTACTAAAGCCCATGCACAAAAAAGCCCGCCTAGAATTTGCCAGGGCCCATGCTGAAAAAGAAGAAAACTACTGGGACTCTGTACTCTGGAGTGATGAGACCAAGACAAATATTCTTGGAACTGATGGCTTAAAAACTGTATGGTGTTGCAAAGGTGAGGAGTACAAAGAAAAATGCATGGGTGGTGCCTACAGTGAAACATGATGGTGGTAGTGTCCTTCTGTAGGGCTGCATTTATTGATGGTATCATGAATTCACAGATGTACTGTTCTACAGTATATTGAAAGGGAAGATGCTACCACCACTTGGTCGTCATGCACTTTTCCAAAATGAGAATGATCCAAAACACACACCTAAGGCCTTTGTTGCATTTCCAAAGAAGAACAGGGTGATAGTAATTCAGTGGCCAAGTATGTCTCCTGATCTGAACTCAATTGAACACCTATGGGAAATTCTGAAGAGACAAGTTGGGCATCGCTCTCCATCGAGCATCCAGGCTCTAAAAGAGGTCATTCTTGAAGAATGGAAAAAGATAGGTGTTGCAATAGGTTGCAAACATGTTAATTCCATGCCTAGAAGACTTGGTGCTGTCTCTACAAATCATGGAGGTCATACAAAATACTGGATGTAGTAGTTTTTGTTGTGAGGTGTATTCAGTTTTGCAACAGCTAATTTGAGTAAAACTGAAGATTTTGTAATGTAAGTTATGTTATTAATCTTACTTTCATGTAAAGAGCTAAAAAAATGTTCTATAAAACTCAGGTTTGTCAATATATATATTGCAGTATATATGTATATTGTGACATGGTAGGAATAATTAAGATATGTAAAGTAACTCAGTGTTCCATATCGAGGTGAACTTTGTAATACATTACTGCATTTATTTAAAATTAATATTTTCCAAAGTAGGCATTGTATTTTTAATTTTAACGTATAGGTATTAGGTGTTCTGCATAAAAAAATTATCTCATGGACACAGCAAACAGCTAAAAATTAAAATTAATTCTATCCTACAAATACATAAGCATATCTGAATTTCTGCTCTTTCCCATAAGCTGACTGGGGATTTCAATCAAACACAGGTTCACTCAGATAGCATAAAATTACTCTTATGTTAAATTGTGCCCTAGATTTTACTCTGTAAAAAAATCTGAAGATTTATGCAAAATGAAAATATTAAAAGCAACCAATCTTTGGTTTTGGCCCATGCTGACACTGTAGCATCATACACTTTCAGTGCATCACATCAGTTTCATAGACACACACAGTGGTATGGCTGTACCCCCCAGTTCCATCGCTGGAGGATTTGATTGACAGAAGCAGGAGACAAAGGCTCACAGTCTGTCCTGTGAGAGCAAGGAGAGAGACAAGTACTGCTGCAGCCAGGCACAGAGCTAGATCAAGGGGGGGAAGATAGTGGTGCGAACAAACAGCAAGTTGAATGTTTTTACATTATTTAGGGTAATGCATTAAGGTTAACAACCTTGTGACTTTATGGTGATGCTCAGGTAGTATTAAGAGGCCTTAAACCAGCAAAAACATTCTCCATACCACTACACCACCAGCCTGAACCACTGTTGCAAGGCAAAATAAACTGATGTGTATGCTAAACTTTCACACAGCCATGTCAGAGAAAAAAGATTTCTCAAATCAAGCATTTTTTTTCCACTTTTTTTTCAAAATTTTAAAGATTGCATTATTGCAGGACTTTTTTCCTTTCTATCAGCTTGAGTAAATCTGCCTTTCAGCTTTGACTTCACTTTATGTTTTCACCCACTTGCTAGATTTTTTTTTTTTTATATTTGACATTTTTATGCTTCTGTAAACCCCTAAGACTATAATGCCTGAAATTTTTAGGAGGTCGGCTGTAATACTGTAACTACCAAGCCTGACACCCAGGGCCAGTGCTTCTACTAGGTGACCGCCTAGAGCACACTGCCACCTAGGGCTGCCTGGGCACAGCACAGGCCAGCATTCTCTGTGTGGGATGCTGCCATGTCATGAATGATCCCTCAGCTGAGAGGAGAGATGGCAGAAGGGAGGAAGAAAGGACAAAAGAAAATGACAGGTGTCTGGGGCCAGTCTAGAAACTGAGCTGCCGTTCCTTCCAGTGTTCCCCTCAGATTCAGTCCCTTACTGCAAGCCAGCTGGTGGCTGCTGATCACTGTGGAGTTCCAGCCCTT